ATTGGATATGTATATATTACAAACTATTTTTATACACTTGATAGTTACTGTGTTGGGCACCACGACGAGTTTATCACAATCGTCTAATTATTTTTTTTTTCGGCGATGACCGATGACGGATAACAGAGAGTGACGGTAGTTCTACTGTATTATTAAATATTAAAAATAGTTTATATAATACAAAACAAATACTTAAATATTTAAAAATTGTTTCTCTGAGTGAAGCATCTTAATTATTATATTAAAACATTTAAAATGGCTAAAAAAATAGTATGTGGTGTCAACACAAGCATTATGCTTAAAGGGGAGTTGAAAACATGTATTTAAAACACATATGACAATTTTTTTTTTAGTCATTAAACCAACCTACCTACCCACCAGAACCGCTTACAAACTAAAAATTATATTCTTCAAAACGATATAGAACAGTTAATGATCTATTATTTTATTCTATAGTCCCTTTTTTTTAAACATTATAGCTACTACCTAGTACCTACCCACCCATTTATTTAGCTATGACATTTGTCATAGGCAAAACCTACTTTTRGCGTCCCTGAATGGCCTGAATATTAATAAATATGTACCTTAAACAAGCCTCAAGTAGTGAAAACTATTAATTACCAATAATTAATATAATAATTAATTACTAAATGCTTGATATTTATTATAGTTAATGTTTTTAATTTTATAAATAAATGCTTGAATATATGTTATATGTTATTATTTATGTTATAGAACAATTTAGTAAAAACGTACCGAAATCTCCTATCAGAGAACTTCTAGAATTAGAACCAGAAACTGCAAAATTTAGGTGAGTAACATTTAAAAAATAATATCAAAAAATTGTTATTTGGTAGGAACATAGTACTAGTGTAGGTTTGCTACATAGAAAGTGCATATTATATGTCATTTGAATATTTTTTTTCAGTTACATAATTTAAAGATGATGGAAACATGGGTTAATTYGATATACTTAGTGCGATTTAACTTATTAGCATGAGAGATTTTGACCATACAATTTTTTTGTCTATGCATACATTATTTTTTTAATAATATTGAGTACTTATGAACAATTGTATAGAAGAGGTTTTGAGCATAGGCACAAATAGGGAGGGGGGCTTTAGGAGCTAAGGCCCCTAACTAAACCTTTCTTAAATGTTATATTAAGCTTATTAAATATTAGTAAAATTAGGTTTTAAACCCCCGGGGGGCCATATCTCAAACACTATTTGCGCATATGGCTTCTGAGATTTTGTTATATTTAGTAGAACTATTTTTTTTATCAACTATAAAGTATATTTTATYATTTATATTCAAAATTATTTACGGTATGGAATAATTAATTTTACTTATTCCCAAATATTTTATTATAACGTTAATAGAGTCAAACAACATTTGACCTAAAAACATTTTGGAGACCGATTATGCTAAATTGTTATGCTATTAAAAAAAGTTGTTGTTTGTAGTAGAGTACATGCATATAACCTAATAATCAGAAAATGTGTTAATTTCTTAGTATATTTAATATTATAAAAGATGGATTTTTTTCTATTRTTTCTAGTAAACCTGAAAAGTTGGCAGATGGTCGACGAGTTCGGGTTGTAGTTGAAATATTTGGCAAAGGAGAATTTAAAGGTATTGGTCGTAATTATAGAATCGCTAAATGTACAGCGGCCAAATGTGCCTTAAAGCATCTAAAGAAAAAGATAAAGAAATAGATCATAATCTATGTACTTTACATTATACAGTATTRATTGGAAACAAGTACATAAAGCGATATCTGTTAAAGAATAAAATTTATTTTGTAGTTAATAAAGTAATACATTCAATTGTTGATTATTTTAATATTTATGAGTATGATATTAATTGTATTTGAAATTTTTTTTCAATAAAAGTGTTCATTTTTTGTTTAAAAATATAGAACTAGTGATAATTTGTTTTTCCTCTTTTTGTTTAATATTTTAAATTTTGAGTGAAATTATATATGAATGAATTGATCTTGTAATTATGTGTACTGTTATTTTTGTGTTTGAAAATTACTACTTTTTTTAGTTGCAAAAATGCATCAATTTATTATACTTTTGACTTTTGGRAGATTAAAACAATAAATTTTGAACAAAAACTAAATCAAAATATGAATGTTTGTTAAAATTTAAATATTATCATCAAAAGAGTTATTTAATAAGCTTTATTATCAAAAAAAATTCTTTATATTTTGCTGTTAATGTCGACAAAAAAATTTTCAATAGCAACATAAAAAATATTTATTTTAATACTTTTCTTCTATGATTGAACCTATGGTTCATAAATATTTTTTATTATTAAGTCACCATATTAACAAAATCTTTACAAAAATCAGTTGAAACAAAAAAATATTTATCCTGCTCTTTAACATTTTATAAATATTTGGCAATAGAAGCTGACAACAGTGGCGGCGCGAATAGCTATTTTATGAGGCAGCCGCCTCATACAAAAGTGAGGGTGGGTATCCCAATGACTCCAGGACCTATAGGGCTAGTTTATAATTTACACTCACATAGTCACATAATCACATACCACAAACATACTAGGGTAAATATTAGGTAATCTTCGTTAYATTATCGAGATATGGATTTATTAGGTACTTTTGCCTCATGAAATAAAATAATTCACGCCGCCACTGGCTGACAAACTGTATTTAGCTCAGAATTTTCTTTTTCGTATGCAATGATTCATCAATAAATTACATATAAATTTAATGAATACATTACAGTAACTTACTCAATTATGAGGTATACCCAACATCAACTAAATAATAGTGATTAACAACTTTTCCACTTAAATAAAAATTTTAAGTGAAAGTTAACATTTAAAAAAAGTGGATAAGTGGATGTCGCTCTGCTGTACATTAGGTGGTGGGTGGACCTCTGACTAGGATAGGTTTAATTTGAATGCAATGATATGTATCATTGAATACGAAAAACGTTTCTGAACGGAGATGGTTTATCTGTCTAGGATATATTATATTTGCTTTTTTTTATTTCTTATGCTCTTTCCTCCAATAATGTCTTCATAATAAGTCATCCTTAATTGTACACAACAGACAAGCCTAAAAAATGTAATAGTCTGCAGTCTGCATCGTTTTCTTTTCTATCATTATAATAATTGTCTTTTTGTTTTCTTTTATATTGCAATAATTTATAATCAAAATTCTCATGAAAAAAAAAATAAAAACAATATTAATAATTTATGATTATTTTCTTCCTTGTTATTTTTCAATATTAATGTTATATATTTAATAACAATTACACAGTTTAACGGAAATCTAAATTCTAAAGAAAGTAATGTATTAAAATTAATTAATAAGATCTAGATTACTCAGTCAACATTCTGAGGCAAACTCAAWGTTTAATAAAAAAATTATAAACCTATTAACTAATAAATACTATATGATGTAAGTGAATGAACTACCATCATTTTAGATTCTGAACAAAGTGATGAATGTATTGATTTTACAATGAAGTGGGTTTTTTAGATTCTGAACGAAGTGATGAATGTATTGATTTTACAATGATGTGTTTTTTTTTTTTTTTTGTGTGTCTGTGTACAGCATAACTAGTCGAAATAATGCTTCAATTTAAAACTTTGGGGGTGATTTCCGATGTAAAAGTGAATATCCTAGGTGCATTATAGAGGTCAAAAGTAAACATTTTCAAACAGTTTTCAAAAAAATCAAGAAAAACAAAAAAAAAAATGACAGAAAAACGGGAATTTTTACGCAAAACCAATTTTTGACCAAATCGATTTTTTTATATGGTTATAATTCAAAACTAATTACTATGAATACTTGAAATTTTCACCAAATGTTTATGTTAGTTATATCTATATACAGTTTAATTTTCAAAAATTTGACTTTTTTGAGTTATTTATAGACCACTGAAATTTTCGATTTTTTTGAGAATTTTTTTTTGAAGTCGGTAAAAAAATGTTGGATGACCAAAAAAACTTGAAAATTTAATACAATGTTCCTTATGAGTTGTTCTTATTGTAGCTAAAAAAAACACACACACACATCATTGTAAGAAAAAGAAAGAAGAGAAAGAAAATGAAAGTCACATGATTCCCCCACCCTAGGAGTAGGGTACAGTATGAGTTGTGATTGAGCCTTAATTTGTAGGAGTGGTATGGTAGCATCAACATTTTAGAATAAATGTTAATGTATCTACTGCAACAAAAAAGAAAGTAATTTAAATATAAAACAAGTTTTATATCAAACTAGTATTATAATATTGTATAATTATGTAAAATATTTTACATAATTGTATACAGTATTACCTAAATTCAATTTAATAAATTATGTATTATTTCAACTTCTTAAAAGTATATTTGAGAGGAGGCTAGCAGTACATAATTTCAAAATTTTACAAAAATTTAAGTGTTGTTGTAATTAGTTTKAYGAGAGCTTGTTTTATATAAGATTGCCCTACAATTAATTTGATTGAATACTTTAAATGCTTAATCAACATTTTATTGTATGTTCATTTCTGTACCTAATAGTCTACCGATTATGAAAGTGGACCATAAAAAAACAARTACACTACAATTTATTTTAGAAATTAACTTATTGTMTTTTCGGTCGGTATTACATGATATTATAATTATTTAAGAATAAAAAATAATGTATACACTAATACATTTTAATCTGTCAAAAAGTAACAATAATATAGACTTTATAAATAAAACATTTACACAGAACAAATATATTTGAATTAGTAATTTAAAATTATAAGAACAATATTATTAGAACTAAATATTAACTAATAATTTACATATTATATTTGTTTTTATATTGAAATAAAAAAATTTATAATGTATAAAATATTACAAAATTATTAGAAAAAATTGTTTATATAATTTTAGTAATTTTAGTACACTTAAACAATTATACAATTTAAGTATTAGAGTATTTTAAATTTATCACAATAGAATGATAATCATTAGTAACAATACAAAAGCTTTATAACTCATAAAAGTATATGATTTAAAACAAATTTTAAACATTAGGCCATTTTTGTGTAATAAGTAGTTACACATTTGAAAAACAAAATTCAACTTGTATGAATGTAGAAAACTTATACCTACTTGTTAAAATAAAATAAATCATAAAATAAACTTAAAGAATAGCTCCACTTAAGGTATGAGTAAAACAATCATTTAATATACATTAGAATTATTATTATTATTTATTAGATATTTCTTCGGCAGATTTTAATTCTAGTGCAGAATTGAAAATTTTTCCATCAACCAAGTGCTTAAGATTTTCACCAGCATAAGATAATAGAGGTGAAATCTCACATTCAATGTTTTCAGTTATAAATTTTCCTCCAGATTTTTCAACAAATTTTCTATGAAGTGAAAAGACATCTAAGCGTGCAGTTTTAGGGTTATCTTTACCATTAGGAATATCTGCATTTTTTAAAGCGCTAAATTCTTCATCTCTTTCTACTTCCCAAACAGCAAGACGATTACAAAATTCAAAGACATCAAATATAAATTTTTCCATTTTAATACCATTAAGTTCTTCTGGTTTGCATACAATTCCATTACCATTCACATAAGGTATTTTTTTTTTAGCCACATGCAATTTTAATTTACTATTATATTTATATGCAACATTATTTAAAAAATCTGTTGTAAAAAAATGATTGCAAATATTACCAGCACTAAAGGTTAAACGACCATCAGAATTTCTTTTTTCAGCTGTATTTTCAGTAATTTCACTATATTCAACAACTTGAAATTTCCCATCAACTTCACATACAACACCTAGTGGCTCAGAAGGATATGCTTTTTCTACAACTTTTGCCCCACATTCAGCATTTTTTGTTATGCAGTATCCAATAAATATTGGATCTGCTACCTTAACTAATATATTATCTACACTATGAGCATGGAGGTATTGAACACCTAGGCTTTTAATCTCATCCAATACTTTGCGATCACGTAAAGCTTTAAATATACCACCATTACCATCTGGAGATTTAGATATTTTATTCATACTTTCCATAATGATTTTTCCATCAAATGTAAATGCTGGCAACATATATTGTTCAAAAAATATAATTTTTTTTTCATCTAGGCCAAAATAATTATTTTCCTTGAAGTATTTACGAGTAGGTTCCATAGTATGTTCACTAGTCATTATAAACCAAGGTAAACCTTTACAGCATCCAAAATCTTTATTAGCTAGCCTAATCAGGCAGCGAATACGTTCCCCTTGTATACGGTACAACGATTTATGAGAAGGCAAACCAATGTCATACATACCTTTAGGGTAGTTAACTCCAAGTCTTGTACCTTGTCCTCCAGCCATTAACAAGACTCCAACTCTGCCTTGAGATATCTGTTCAAGTCCAATTTGCTCATATTTAATCAAAAGTTCTTTTGGGCTGCGGTTTACAGCACCATATAATTCAGCAGATATAGGATTCATCTTATTATCCAATTTTTGTTGATTGGCACTCATAGTTCCTAAAKTTTTTTTAAACATTCCAACAACTTCAGGAATGTTCAGTTCACGAATATCATCTAGGAGAAATTCTTTTTCTTTTTCATTAAGTCTGTTCCAAAATGTAATAATATGTTCTTGATCATATTTTTTAAGCAATGCAATTATAGAATCAAAGTCAGACATCATTAACAATAATGCAAACTGTAGTATGAAATAAATATTTTATTTAAATACCTAATCTATTCTGTGCCTAAATCATATAAAAAACAATCACCAATAATTTAAGAAAATTTTCAAATGTATTTAACAACTAACTACAAAATATAAGCTACAAAAGAATTTCCTAAAATATGCTAAGCTTCTAGGCACCAACTGCCAAGTGGACACTGGGGCACTGGGCAGAGTCGATTGGCCACTGCAGCCTGCTGACTAAATAGTAAATACTAATTGAGTATTTGAGTGTAGCCTGCAGCAGCCAGCAATGCAGCATTGCAGGACACGTTGAGCTCAAATCTTCCACTTTTCACTTTCTAAAATAATTTTATGGCGGTTAACTGATAAAAACTTATCAAACTAATCAAAGAGACTAGAAGCATGGATATAGATATTAGATACTAGTATCTAATATTGTGATCTATATAGTGTCTATCTCTATAATATAGTAAATGGTAAAACTGGTAACAACCCAATATGACTAGCAGGCTGAAGTCTAGAACATAGACATATAAATATGAGTATATTATTCTATGGTCTAGAACATAATATTTGGCAAGATCACTGGATATATTTCGATTATTTCGTGATTGCGGTTGAACCGTGGGGCTGTGCAAGATATAAATTGCGCGCATGCKCATTAGCCACAATTCACCTTAGTTGACTTCAAATCTAAGATCATATGACATATAACCACAGACTATATATATGATCTAAGATAATACCCCTTACTAAAGTGAGATCATAGACATAATATAGATTATGTCTATGAGTGAGATCACTATATGAAAAGCAATCTGTCTCTCATCCACATTCCGGCCCGCAAACCCCTAAGTTGTTAATATAGGAATGGCCTATCCATTTTTTTATTATCTATTATTATCTAATATTTAGCGGTTGAATTTTAGCCTGTTACTGTCAAGCTGCAGTAGCTGTTTGCTCTATCCATAAATTGTATATAATCAGCTATGACGTAGCCATGAAGATTAGAATAAGGAGACCAAACTATAATAGTACATTAGTACTGCCGCCCGCATGAAAAAACGTACCGAAACCAGTCGCACGATTAAACGGCCACAGATGGCGCTGCGTGCGCTAAGGTGGCTACTTTAATTCGTGTAGTAGGTATAGGGATTATTCRTGTTTTTTGCGTTTTTTAAAAATATATGCATTATTTCRATATTTCGAATCATGACCCATAATAAATTTTATAGTTCGTAAAATTACGCATTCATACATGTACATATGTGTATATTTCATTTAAATTTTTTATTATTTTATAGATAATCCTAATTCCTAATACCTATTATATTATGGTAAATTGAAAATTCTCTATCACTATCAAAAATATCAAAATTGTTAATAGATTACCATAATGTAGTTGTAGTTTGTACCCTGTGCAATATGCATTGCGGTTCATTACTCAAATTCTTAATATTATTTACAGTATTTAGTGACTATTTACTATTTTTTACTAGTAGACAGTTAGTAGTCTAGTAAGTATGTACCTTTGGAGTTTAAAAAACATTTTAATTTTTAATTTTGTTAATTTTATTAAATTTAATGGTAGCAGAATAACCTGTCTTACAGCCAGGCACGTAATAAGATTTCATTTAAAAAAWATATATATATTTTAATATTTCTAAAAAAAGATATGAAATATTAGTACATAATATCTATAATAAGTACTAAATTTACATGGGCGGATAGGCCATTTTTGGTCTACCGGAAAATTTTAAAAAGGGGCCTCCACATGAAAAAAAATGTAATAATATATGATATTATAAGGGGCCCCATTACCGAAATACGAAGGGGGGCCCACCGGAAAATGCCCGGTGGCCCGGTAGGCCTATCCACCTATGCTAGGTAATATTTTGATTTAATTATCATAATTCATAAGGTTGACATAAATATTATGCTAAATATAGCAATGGCCATGATTGCATTCATTGTATTTGTATGGGTACCAATTATTAATGGGGGAAAAAATGAAATATACACATATGCACATGTATGAATGCGTAATTTTACGAACTATAAAATGTACAAAGGGTCATGGTTCGGAATAATGCATATATTTTACAAAAAACATGAATAATGGCATAATCCCTATACTACGCGAGTTAAAGTAACAACCTTAGCGTACGCAGCGCCATCTGTGGCCGTTTAATCGTGTGACTCGTTTCTGGACGTTATCAGAAGCGGAGTTTGGTCTCCTTATTCTAGTCCACGGCAGCTTTATTAGAATATAAAGCCGTGTTCTAGTCATAGAGTAATATATTGTATTATATACTCTATGGTTTTAGCACAGAATAATTATAATTATTTAATAATTTATTCTGTGGTTCTATTCTAGTCTTCATGTTATTATCTATCAAGAGCTATAAAGATATCTTTATAGATCTTGATTATCTATTTTATATAGGTATTACAATCACTATGATAATACTATCAGTTTTAATATTTTTTCAGTTCATTCTTCATTCATCATTCATGGTCTTCCCACGATAAATATCTTTTAKGTTGTCAATGTTGTCATGTTGTGTCTTGTGTCTTGAGTCTAGGTACAGAACTACAGATTACAGACGTACAGTACTATATACAGTGTATATTATTGGTACATTTATATTTTGAAATTTATTTTATGGCAGATTGCGGTTCATGTTAATACCTTATTTTATTTACATAAAAAGTTATTTAATATTATAATTAGTCTTTACCAGCTATTAATGACTTGTTATCTATTTATATCTTGAGTTCGTGGTTAGTGAACCTTCCAAAGATGGAACAAAATTCAGATCAAACTATTGAGTTAGAAACCGAAGTTATTTTAAGAGTTCCAACGGTAATACTTGTTCAGATTTGCTTCTACTAATTATGTTCTTGTTTATCAATATTGGCCATCTATTACTTGAAATAAATACATATTTTATATTATTTTTAGGGTTTATAGAAAATGTTCTTTTACATKGCAATATTAATTAAATAATCCTATTTATTTATACTAAATTAAAATATAATATTTGGTTTTAAAAATTATAATTATAATATAGTTTTATTCACATTTTGTGTTTTAGGAAGCTGCTGCTGTGTTAAGAGAGTTAATAAAAAAAGATGCTAAAGAACAATTAAGTATAAAATTAGAGAATGATATTCGCAGAGGTGAAGTTATTATCGGAAATCATCATCTATTTGCAAAGGTTTATTTATTTACTTAATATAATAGTTAATATATAACAACATTTATTTATTATTATATAATATGTTGAGTGGCAAAGCCAAGTGATATAATCCATTTACTACATATATTTTACATGTTAGATGCCATTTTTTGTGTTTTTTAATATTTTGTTGTCTGTGTATAGGTTGTTGACTTACCAACTATTATTGAAGGTCAAAAAACAATTGACAACAAAACTGTATATAAAACTGCAGATATATGTCAGGTAAAAACAATTATATACCTAATACATAACTAGTAAGTGAATATGAACTTTAGGAATAAACTATGTAGACATGTAATTTCTGTGTATCTCAATTAATTTTTATAATGTATCTMAGAGTACTTATATACTTAGTAGAATGTTTTGTTTAAAAAATTTGAGTTTTTATATATTGACATACCATATTATTATTGATGGTAATCAGTTAAAATATTTAATTTAGAAATTCAAAAACATATATACATTTTCATAAATAACCACTATATTTTTGAAATGTCGTTATAGACTTTATAGTCAAATAAAATATAAAGTTAAAATGTCTAATAATACGATTCTAYTAATCACAATATTTGTTATACAATTAGTTGGGTCTGGAACTTGATGATCTAAAAATATATAAAAAATGCATAAAATGACGTAAAAATGTT